AATGCAATAAAACAAACAAATTTAAAAGGTAACAGATCATTGTATTACTTGGTTTATTTACAGAATGATTTTAATTGCTGGATGTCCATGCAGCCTCTGAGCAGCTGGCTTTCAGTAGCTGTGGCCCCCTGAGCAGTTTCGTTGAATTGCCCTGTTCTAAGCCAACTAGAGACTAATGTAACCAGATGCAGGCTTTTCTTTTGATGGATTTTTAGCTGAGGGTAAATCGTCTGAAGCCGATTTCAAGTTTGTCCCATCTCTTTGAAAGCTGTTCCAGAGAATGTGCAACATGCGGTCAAAAGAGAGCTCCATCTAAAGACCCTAAAAACAACACAAGTCCATGACAGAAACAGGATGAGCTTCTGTAGTTGCATCATCAGCAGCTAGTAGATTCTGGGGAAAGATAAAAACCAAACAGCCTCTTGGCTGCATAAAATCCTGAATATCTGCAACAAGCAACAGTGGTCCACGACCAGTAGTCATGAAAAACCTCTTCCCTACTTTCCAGCCAACAACAACTCACTGATGTAGACACATTTTTATTAAATTCTACTGAGGGACAGAGAGAAGCTAACGAGGGCAAAGACATAAAGTTTACCCTAAGAGAAAACTTTTCATTAGTAAGACTGGCAAACTGGCAAATTTCTGGTTTTGACGCATCTTTGAATACTAAACCAGTTCTGGAACAATTTGTTGGTTCAATAAAACTAATATCAAATTCAAAAAAATGTGTGTTGGAGGCTTAAAAATGTTCGTGGCACACACCATAAAGGCATGATGGCTCAGTGTTCACTGATATCATTTACAAAGTGTAGCACATGCACACTAGTTAACTTCAGCAAAGATGACTGGAAACAGCTTCTGACAAGCAGAAACCCAAAACGCATCACAAAAGTTTTCATGTTTCTTTTTTATAGTCATAAATAACATTACTGAACATTATACATCGTTTAATAAGACTTCAGCCTATGCAAGCTCATTATGCTAAATACATACGCTTTGGTCAGCATTTGATGACAAACATGACAGTTTTTCAAAAGTAACCAATAGAATCTACTCGTCTTGATATAGAAAAGGCTTCAGGACATGTTCAAAAACATGTTGAAACATTTAAGGCAGCTGATGATCTATCATTCAGTAGGTAAAATATTTTTTATGAGCTGATAATGTCCTCTAAAGTAATGGGAGCACATAAAATACTACAGTTGAGATCTCAAAAAAAGATTGATCAGAAATAACGAATGAGAGAGGGAAGCGATTCTGGCAGCACCACTGCCCAGACCCTGATTTTCTTCATCCATTTATCCACCCATCTGTCCCTCCTTTCTTTCACTGATCCATTTCTCTTCCCCCCTGTCAACCCATCAGTCATCCATCCATTTCTTCTTACATTATCTAGCACTCAATGTGCGATATAGCCCTACCTTTCCATTCCACCTGTCCTTAAACATCTCATTAACTTTCTCATTTATCTCTCATAACCAAACATCTCCAAACATCCATCAGTCGCTGTGTCGGCTGCGTCTCACCCCCGTACCTTGTATCTCCCGGCTATTACGCATCCAGCGCAGAGTGGCAGCTGGCTTACTGCGAGGTGACATGCAGGTGAGCTCAGCCTCGCCGCCCTCCACGGCCTCCTGCTGTACCTCCACCGTGGGCGTCTCCGGGGGAACGAAGACGGAGAGCGTGGCCACCTGGTGGTGCGTGGAGTCCGTGTAAAGTTGGCAGAAGTAGCCGCCCTCATCCGACACGCTGACGTTGGTCAGCGTGATGCGCACCAGGCGTGGCGTGAAGAGCACCATCTGGAAGCGGTCGTCCTTCAGCGCTTGAGTTGGAACCAAACAAGGAGAAAGAAGGGACAGCATGAGCTGAAAATACCCCACCCCCTTTTTGTTTCAATCATTTAAAAGAAAAACACACAAACGACACACAGAACTCGTTGTTCATCAGAATCTTAAGAAGCCTCGGGAGTTAGAGTTGCACAGCGTCGGAGCAATTTTACAACTTCTTCTTATTGTTTATTGTGGACTTGTTATTATTTCTGTAACTTTGACAGAGAAAGATGACCCAGGGGTCTGTAACCTTTACAATCAAAATAACCATTTTTATGCCTTCCTTCATTACATTAAACATGTCCGGAGCTGCAACCACCTGCTACAACTGTGGTTATCCACTGGTGGCCCGTGAGCCACTTTAGGTTTGCTGGAGGGGGCTTTTGTGGCCTGTATGGGTGACATTATAAAACAAAAAATATCTACTGCATTTTTCAGACTATAAGGCACACTTAAGATGCTTTAATTTTCTCAAAAATCAACAATGAGCCTTATAATCCACTGCACCTTATGTGTTAATTCTGGTTGTGCTCAACCCGATTTTATGTGGTACAACTGAACAATGTTGAGAGTTATTGTGAATGAGTTGAATAAAGTTGTCCTCATTTACCCATTCACACAGCACTCTACTAGAACTCTACAAAGCTAATTGAACAAATCATTCTAAAGAAACTAATCAGTGCTTTATCACATTCATACACAGATGGGACACACATCGGAGGCAATGAGGGGTTCAGTGTCTTGCCCAGGGACACTTCAGCATGTGACTGCTGGTGGATTCGAACCCCCAACTTTTGCATTGGAGGACGACTGCTCTAAACACTCAGCCACAGCCGCCCTTAATGCGCCTTATAATCAGGTGCGCCTTATAGTCCGAAAAATACTATGATTTTTTTTTACATTTATTAAAGAAAAAGACAAGATTCTTGTAAAGGGGGGAGAAAAAAAAATCAATTTTTACCTTTTTTTTTTTTTTAATTAAAAATTCTATAAACTATGCAGACAGTTCTTCATATAAAGAAATAAAGCATCAAGTTAAAGTATGGTTTACTCCTTGTAATCACTCCAGTGTTCACACATTTGCAAAATAAATTACCGGAAAACTGTCTGAACTCATCCTTTTTTGTTGTTGTTGTTGTTTGCTTAACCAATAAAATTCAGTTTTATGCCCGTTTAGGTCAAAGCTTGAAAGAGCCGCTGCAGAGGAACCAAAGAGCTGCATGTGGCTCCAGAGCATATCAGTTAGATGAAAACGTGGATATTGCCAAATAGAGGGCAAATAAATGAGCTGCTGCATTTGTTTCTGTTGTATTTCTGGTCAGTTTGTGCATCCAGACTTACAGACCTGAATGCACCTGGTTTTGCTGCATGTAAGCGCTGCAGTTTGTAAGAATCCTTCAAATAACACGTTTCATCTTTAATGATCGATCGCTACCGAAGACTACGACTGAGATAAAGTTTCACTGATGAGTATGTTTGTCCGTACAGTTAGCAAAACATCTTATGAATCACCCAACAAATAAAAAATAAAACAGAAATTTTCACTTTTGAAGTCAAATAAATACAAGATGGCCACCACAGCCAGCTGATCTTTAACAGCACAAAAAGGCTATAACTGAAATAATAGTTCCAATATTGACCTAAAATTGTGTGCGGTAGTAGCTGAGACTGCTTTCCAACATGTATTCTAAACAGAATTCTAACAAATTCTCCTAATACTTAACTATTCAAACTCAAGTCTGGCTGTCTGTTAGCAAAATATCTCAGGAACCATTAGACAAATGTTAATGAAACATTCAGGGAGTATTTAATAGATGCACCTCTCCAACTGTTTAACTTTTGGCGCCAACCTAATTCAGAATGGCCACCACAGTCCACTAAGCTTAGAAAACACAAAATTGGCAATAATTCAGTCAATTTTAAACGTAATGTGTTAAAATGTGGTGTTCTTACAGCTGAAAGTCATTTACAGCACACACTCGATGTGCTATACATATGTTTAAAACTTTAGCATTAAATCTTGGAGTCGACCCTGACTCCATCAACTAATTTACATTCAGCAACACGAAACGGCTATAACTTAGTGAAGATACAGATATCGAGGTATAATTTGATGAAGTGGTAGTTGAGAGTCATTCACAACATATATTCTGAATGTGACATCTTGTGATTTGTATAAGATTATTTAGGCTTGACCAAAACGTGCACAACCGTCATTTCTCAACACAAGATGATCTCAGTCCATCTCTGGCATGTAAGGTGGTAGTTAGTATGCATTCCTTCACATAGCGCTATGCCTTTAAATCTTTTTTTTTTATGTGCAACTCAGAGAAAAAGATTTAAATCCTATTAAAATATATATATTTTTTAGTCATTGCTTAGGAAGTCTACTAAAAACACAAGAGAAGCACGAGCTGTTGTAATTGAGCGATTCTCAGCTTTGACATCCATTTTTTTTTTCTTTCTGGGCCTCTGATAGTTTTCTCTGTATCAGAGAACAGTCAGTTTAGTCAGACTCACAAAGTGTGGCGCCAGAATGGAGATTTTTACCATCTAATTTGTGATGTCGCTCCTACGATCAGCTCTGCAGAGGAAAATTGCAAAACATGGGAGAAATATGGACTGTGAGCACCCCAGATGATTTGGTGCTGTGGAATTGATAGTGCTACTAAATCTAAAGACTCAGTTTATATAAAAACTTCAGTTTGCAAAGTCGGTCACGATGGAGCAGCTCCAGCATGTTCGGTGATGAGGTCCAAAAGATTTCTTGGTTCTCTCACTTCTCCACTAGGAGGGGGAGTCCTTGAAGAGGACAATCCTGAAGTTAAGTGAATTCATTCCTTCTCTTTGACTGGCTTCGTTTCTCTTCAGGGCTTGTTTTATTTCTCAGTTTCTAATTAGTGTGAGGATTGTTATTGTTAATCTTATTAGGTTTTTAATCAGCATTGTTTTCCATGCCGTGAAGAACATAAATACTTAGTTGTGTGCTAAGTAAGAAAAGGCTAATTGTGCAACCACGGAATTACACAGTAAAGCTATTTAAAAGAGCATTACACCCGTTTGTTGTTGAGTCGGTGAGAAACAGGCTAAAGACTACCGTTGTAAACTGCAATTCTGACATCAGCCTGCTAAATTAGAGGATCGGAGTCAAACTTGATCCTCAGATGAGCGAGCTACAAAAAAAAAAACTACTTTCATTATGATACACTGAATAGAACAAAAAGAAGCAACGCTGACAGCAAGAATAAGACGTGAAGCGTTACATCCTTTTGTCCCTTCTGCGATGAAAAGAGTCAAGTTAATGGCAAGAAAACTGTTGACAATCACAAATAATTCTGAGAACATTCCGAGGCTGACAGTAGCTCAATGACCATAGATTTGCAGAAATACCTCTAAGGCTCACTTTGTATTGACTTGGCTGTGAAGCAGCTCTTCCCTCTACAAGTCTCTCTGTTTTGGTCGGTGTCTCGCTTGTTTCCCTTCGTGCTGTCTCACGAAGAAAAAGAAAGTCGACACCTACTTGATGTAGCACCCAGGCCACCTCAAAGAACAATTCACAACATAAGAGAGAGAGATAGAGCTACAGTTTCTTGGAGTTATTTGAGTTTTCCAGCGGAAGAGAGTTGACAGGGTAAGGACTGGAAGAAATAGACTAATATAACTACATAATGCATCAGATGGAATAGAACAACGCACGGTAGACCGAGACAAAAATCCACAGGCGGCTGAGAGAGAGTGGTCTGGAGGGATGAATTAGTCCTCTGCTTCTGAAAGTACACCACCATAATTCCTCCCCCAATTTTTTCTCCCCTTTACCAAATGGCAGGGAGAGCCTTGTTAGAGCTATTCCCCACAGATAGGCAAGTCTTTTTCCTCCCTCTGCACAAAATGGCAACTAAATGTCAGACTTCTGTTCTAGTCCAAGTTCACCTTTATTGTCCTGTCTCATTTGCATGCTGATGGGAGCTGGCAGTAGGAGAAGAAACAGAGATATGGACCACTGAGGAAAAAGGCTCCATTTGGTTAGTTCCACTGCTCTCATAAAACACAATCCTGACCGGTTGCCTGCTTGCAAAACATGTTACCTCGTTTAATGCTCTTCCTGCAGCAGCATATGTGGAATGGGTCGACAGAGAACGGCAGAGCAGCAGATGGGCAATAGACAAGAAAATGGACATATTGGAAAAGAAAGCCAATAAAATGTAATTTGCACTCCCAGAAAATGTCCCCGATGAGGCTTTTTGTTACACCTTCATAAGTCAATATATTAATGTGCAGCTGTAAAAAAACATTACTTCTCTAAAATTGAAATTATTGCCTAAAGCTGAATGTTTTTCCGTTGCCTGATCCTTCTTAAGTTTATCTTTTTTAACCCTCTGACCTGTTTCTCGTTCTTTCCCTCTTTACGTTCGCTCTCATTTTCCCCTTCACTCTTGGCTTCTCACCTCGTCTTCCTCAGCGTTCTGATTAGTCTCCGCCATGCTTTCCAAAGGGTGCAAGTCAACGTCTCAAGGGAGAGCAGACGAGGCAGCGCTGTTTAAATACTTAATGGAACTTAAGCTTGAGCTGATCTGATAGAATTTAGGAGCGGAGCTGAAAGTTAGGTTCCCTGCCCAAAGCAGCAACCTCAACTTTTTTTTTTTTTCTCCTCCAAACTGCTCCTTGATCAAGGTGACTGACAAGTGTGAGTGTAGAACAAAAAGATTTGAGTGCTGTGTGTGTGTGTGTGAAAAGTGAAACGGTGTGTGTGCAACTACTTTCCCCTCTTAATTCTGGTATTCTGCTCGGAAAATCTTCTGTGACTTCAGTTTTGTCAGGCTGCTCTCCTGAATAGTTTTGATTGCCGAATCAAAATAATTACTATTGCTGGAGGATTTTATGATTAGCAGGTGGAAAGTGTGTTCAAGTGCAAAATTTTCCATGCACAAATACAGATATATCAAATCAGATTGCAGGATTTCCTCCCCTACTTCCCCAAAATAAGACGGAATCA